ACCCCGCGCGTCCCGGCACCCCGCATGTGTGTGGTTCTTCATCTCCGGCCTTCCTTCTTTGGGTCTGGCTCGCCAGCTGTCCCCTGGACCACCAGGTCTTGGGCAGCAGAGATTGCACTTTCTTATGTGTGTTCCTAGCGCTGGTCTGTGCCCAGCACGTAGAGTGAGCACCACAGCACCACTGTAGTTGGTGGCCTGTCCTCCCACGCCTCTCTACTTGATCCCTCCTTACCTCTCCTGCAAGGACTAATTACGTCGTGTGCACTCGGTCGCATCTTCCCTGTGATGTCATATATTCCTCATTTTTCCATCTCCTCCTTTGTCTCAATAAAACAATAATCTTTTCATCCTCTGAATTCACTGAGTAATTTATCTCTAGTTCTCTTATAGTACTTACCACCTTTTCCATAATATCATGGTTTTCAGTCTGTATTCTCTACTGAATTTTAGGTATCTCTAGATTAAGAGCTATCCCTTGCAAAGTGAGAAGGGGTAGGGGTAGGAGACCAAAAGTTGTGCTACTATAAAGAAGCACTGTGATCATTTTGGTACGTATCCCTCCAGTATCTTTCTGTGTATATGATAGATATGTAATCTTACATCGTCATAAATTTAACCCACTTTTAATCCCTTTCCTCTGTCTCAGTATTTGATAGTAGCATGTAATGTTTTTGCGGCTTTACCTGGACTTTGAAGGAGTTGTTAAGTTGCTGCTGTTATAAGTGGCTTTCAGAAGGAGAAAAACAACTCTAGTTTAGAAAACAAAAATGGCTTACCTGTGGAAAAAATACAATAAAGTTAAAAATAAATAAGTGAGCCAATTAACATAAGTAAATGTCTCTAAGTAATTAACATGAAATGCCTTTCATTTATATAACAAATAAAGATGAAACCGAATTTTTTTTTTTTTAAATGACTGACCTAAAACAATCTCTGGTAGCAGCAGAGCCATAAAATAGAGAGAGGTGTTAGAGGCCTGATCTCTGAGCAGTGAGAGCCTATGAAAATGTGACTTCTGTATTGGTGTCCATGTTAGCTGCCCCAGGTCTCACTCTTAGTTGTTGCAAGTGAACATTAATGTCATATATTTCTCCTTAGAGGCTAGACACAGAGTTCATCAGAGCCGCGTTGGTTTACTTTAAAGGGCAGCCAACATTGTCAAAGAAGTTTAGGGAGTGGAGGGTGGAAAAAGGCAACAAAGTGAGCTAAGCAGCCAGGTCTGAACTTGATTAAGCTTGTATTCTTTGTTGCAATTTATGCTAATACCCATTAAATCTGTAAAGTAAGACTGAAGTACTGTTTATATGAAAAACATATATAAATGTTTTTAGATACCATGCTGTAAATGAATATAGTACTATATAATTACTCTGATAGCCTTCTAGTCAGATTACCTTGAAAATCCAAAATAATCTTGATTAACAGTAAGACATTATGATTTCATGGTTCATCTATATACCTCCTACATAGATGTATAGAGCTTGTATCTAACAGGATTACCAAATTACATACCTTTTTGGTATCTGTAACATGCCTAAAATACCAGAGTATTCATTGGCCCGTTATGGTTACGAAACCACTTGGACGTGGCCAGAGGAGAATTGGTTCATGCACATCTATAGTCTTTGGATTTCTTGCACCATTTTGAGAGAGGTAAGATGCTCATTTGGTTTTATTTAAACATTTCTTTATTCAGATCATAACATTTTTTAAAATGTCACTTCTCTAGATAACACAGTGTGATTCACTTAATTAACCTAACGTCCATGCAGGGACAATATAGCAAATATGATTGTTTTCTGCCTTTTACTTGCCAGCAAGTGGGACTGGTGAGCAGTGCAGTGCGGCTGTGTGGGTCCTGGTCCCTGCTCAGAGTGGGTCATGGGGCAGCGGGGGGGGGGGGGGGGGGGTGAGGAGGAAGCAGACAATCAGAAACACATTCCTTCCTTCATGGTCTGCAAGATGGTGAACAGGCACCTCTGACTGAAATGCTTCTGGGCATTTCCATTCCCAGCTTTAAGTCGCCTTTGTTTTAAAAACTCCCAGATCTGCGGGTTCCAGCCTAGGCCTTTGTATTAGTGTCCTAGGGCTGCTGCAACAAAATACCACAAAAGAAAAAAGCAGCCTCAAAAAAAAAAAAAAAAAAAAGATGTGTTGTCTCACAGTCTGGAGGCTAAAATGAAGGTGCCGGCAGGGTTGGTTCCTTCTGAGGGCTGGGAGGGAGAGTCTGTTCCAGACTGTTTTTTAGCTCCTGGTGGTTGCTGGCCGTCTTTGGTGTTCCCCGGTTTACGGAAGCATCATCCTGACCTTTGCCTTCATCCTCACGTGGCATTCCCCCCCGTGTGCATGTCTGTGTCCCAGTTTCCCCTTCTGAGAAGGACCCTAGTCATTTCGTATCAGGTGACTGCCCTGCTCCACTCTGAGCTCATCTTAACTAATTACCTCTGCAACAAGCCTATTTTTAGATAAGCTCATACTCTGAGGTCCTGGAGGGTCGGACTTCAACATGAAGTTTTAGAGGAACACAGTTCAACTCATAGCAGCCTCTCTTCTGAGTCCACGCGGCTCCTTGTGGCTTCCCACTGGATATACATCAGTGTCCCCCGGAACCTCAAATTCAACCCAGTCGGAACTGGTCTTCCTCTTTCACAGTTCCTTCTCTCTAACCTTTCCTTATTTTTTCTTTTTCTGTTTTGTTCTTGATCTTTGGTACTAGCATCATCCTCCCACGCAGTTACCCAGGTTATAAGTCTTGGGAATGACTTGGCCTACTTCCTGGCCTTCAGCCTCTGCCATCCAGTGGCTGTCAAGTTGTGCCCCATTCCCGCCTCCCCTGCGTCCCTCCAGCCTTTCCTCGGGTTTCAGTCCTAGTGGTCCAGCTCCGGTTCAGAACTCTGCAGTGCCTAGCTGCCAAGTTTTCTCCCTACTCTTGTCCTCCCTGTGTTAAACGCATCTTCCACGACCCTCAGTGACTTCTCACTGCCTGCAGCAAAATCAAGATTCTGTAAGTGGGCCTTCACGGTCCTCCTCAGGTAGCTGTCCTTACAGCTTAAGCCTCGCTTCGACTCCTTATGACCAACATCCTCCTCCAAACACAGCATTTGTTGTGACTTCGCTTTGTTCTTTCCTCAATGTGTAACGTCCTCTCCCTTTCCTTCTCTCTTCTCTCCATCTTCCTGCGCCAGTTGGGATTCTCTTTCAGTGAAATGGAAACCAGGACACCTGGCTCTTAGGCCAAAGTGCCAGAAGCCAGTTGTCCACCTTCTACAAGTCATTAAGTTCTCTAGGTTTCTCAAAAGTATAATGAAGAGTTTGAAGTAGATGATCTCGAAGATCTTTTCAACTTTAAAAATGTGTTCTTGACACCTTCATGAAGCATTTCCCCGATTTTTCTGGGCAAAAGATATCACTCCTTCCTTTGTGCCCCTTAGTGCTCTATTTCCTCTCTTCCCTTGCCCCTCAGCTCTTGCATCCCGCTGGGCATGTGTGAGCATGACTGCCTCCCTCCCCCCAGCAGGCTGTGAGCTCCGATAGCCCAGCCAGGAGGGTTTGACTCAGATTTGCTTCTCTTCCCACTGCAGCTGCCGCTGGTCTTGAACATGGATTCTCAGTGAGATAGACTGCTATAGTAGAGAATAAAATGTTCTGGGCAAATATTCTGTAACACATGCTGTTCCTGAATGTTCCCGTGCACTGTAAGGATGGTTTTGGGTAGTGAATGACAGATAGTGTATTGAACATACTAGGTGTTTTTCCTTCCTTTGTGACATTGTTATAATCAGGTGATACTCTGGAAACAGCTGAGTTAGCTTTGTAACACTTTGTATAAAAATATGTTCTTTCTCTCAGATGTTTAGAAGTAATTAAGTGTTCTGTGAAACAGAGAAACTCACTCCTGTTTTCTTCTTCCATCTATGACTTCCAGAGACTTGGACTATCTCAATGTATCGTTGAAACAGTTGGACAGTAATATACAAAACAGAAAAGATTTTGTGGATGTGTTTACTTCTTGAAAGTCAAAGCATCTGTGGCTTGTCATACTCTTCCTAACAGATATATTTGAGCATATCATGGCCTCGCCCCGAAACCCTCAGTCACTCCTTGCGTCCTAGAGAAGAAAGACCAGGCCCTTTTCTTGTCTTCAGGCCCATCTCTGGGCTTTTTTCCTGATCTCATTTCACGGTGTTCTTTTTTATGCGCCATGTGGTACAGACAAAATCAGCTTCTCACTGTTTTCCTTGTGCGCTCCCCAGCTTTTTTGCACCTGCCGGAAGGCGTGTCCCTTGATAAAAGGACCCTCCCTTTTACACCCATGACTGCATACCTGCATTTCACTCACTTTTTTTCGAGACTCAGCTCACATTCCCTTTCTGCAACAAAGCCTTCTTTGATTTCCTACCAGAATTCTGCTCTCATACGGGTCTCTGTCCTATGATTTGTCTTTCTTACATACCATTTCTACACTAGTGCTCTCTGCCTTATCGGACTAGGAGTTCCTTGGGGTCACGTTTCATGTCTGATTTATCTGTGTTCTGCCGCCTTCCCCAGCGTCATCCCTAGTTTAATCACACAGGGTCAGTAGGTACCACTGAACCATTTTTACATGGTGGATAAAGGTATTAGTGAATGACAAAGCTGCTCAGTTTTGCTGTTATACAATCACATCTTCATCTAAAAGTATCCGAAGTTTTAATTCTAGCATCCAACAGTATGCCCAAAACAAAAGTGATGTGTTGTGTAGAACAATTACATTTAAAATTAGGATGCATCTGCTGTGTCACCATACCCTCGAACCTGTCATGTCTTTTAGATTCTGCTGTACGTTGCAATTTCAGTCCGCTGTATGTAAAAGGAAATGCTAAGTTTTTGTAAATGTTTTCGGTTTGAATTTTATTTTTTCGACAGCAACATTTTATTTTTTTCCTTAGTGTGTATTGGTGCATGCGTTTATTTTCCACGAGCTACTGACTTTATGCTTTGTGCTTGTTTTTGTGTTGCAGATTAATATCCTTTCAAGAATTTGTAGCATTTGAATCTGTCCTTTGTGCCCCGGATGCTCTGTTCATGGTGGCCTTTCAGCTGTTTGACAAAGCCGGCCAAGGAGAAGTTACTTTTGGTAAGGGGCGTGAGTGTGTGCCCACCGACATGAGTGCAGGCTTGCGTGAGCATTTTTTTTTTTTTTTCTGGAATGAAATGTATGGAAGTCCTTTTAAGAAATCAGCATATCCCTTCTAACGAAGCTCCCAGTGTTTGGGGGCTGTGGTACAACTGTCTCCCTATTGGGGAAAAAAAATATGTTTCTGGCTTAGTAGTTTGAAAATACTCTGGTTTCTTTTTAAGGCGAGGAAGGATGTGGCAGGACTTTCCCCCAGGGTTGTAGAGTGTGGGAGCAAGATGGGACTTCTTTTCATTCCCTTCACAGTCAGCAGTGCTTTCTGTCCACTGCCAGAAGGAGGAAGTTCCTCAGCTGCCTGAGAACAGGAGTTACTGGGGACCCCACCTTGAGGTAAGGACTCTGAGTCCTTCCTGGTCTTGGGGTAGCATGGGGCCAGAGGCGCTGTGCGGGGTGGCAGTGCAGAGAGCCCCATGAACAACCCTGCTCTTCTAAAGAGCTTGGCCCCCACACCTGGGCGGGCCCTGCCTGCCCTGCTGTGGTGTCTTTATTTTGAAAGGCAGAACCGTCTTCACGGGATTAGCTGCAAAGCTGAAGAAAACCCTGAGGCCTTTTAAGTATTAGCACGAAGGGAAGGCCAGGAAGTAGTGGGCCAGCGGTTAGTTCTTCTTTAAAAAAGAAACAGGCTCCTGAAGCTGAATTTGACAGAGAGTACTACGTTCCCCATGGACTGTGGCGTGTCCAGCATATGTTGCCTCTGCATGGGAACCTGCTATACCCAGCAGCCACGCGAAGAATTTCAGAGCTCTTTGGGGGCATATGGATTGTGCATTCAGGGGAGATGGCTAATGAGCCCATTTTGAGTGTCTTTATTCATAGTTTCCCATTTATTCAGACCTTTTGGGCCAGTCTTACTTGATGGATTGTGAGAAACATACAGGTGGGGGAAATGCAGGCAGCATGATAGAGCACCATCCGTTCTGGGATGGTTCTGGAGCTAGAGAGACTTAGCCACGTCCCGCTCTGCCACTTCTGTCTCTGAGCCAAGTTAATTATCCTCTCAGGTCTTCCTTTCCCGTATCAGAAATGAAGGTAATAACTCCATACAGTATAAGGGAGACGGATTAATGGATTTATCCTCGCAGCCTTCCCCTCCCCCACCCACTCCTCCATGTTCATTTGACGTGACGGTTATTTAAGGCTGGATAAGCGAGGGCAGAGGCAAAACACATGTATTTGTGGGTTTTTGTTTCATATATTCTGGAAGCTCACATGCTTTCCATTAACACTTCATGAGGATTATTGAATATTTAAAAATCCCATGAATAATTTCAGTTTTTTCTTTTCTATCACCTAATTCCTCTTAGCATCACTGCAACCACAACTTTTCAGTGGCACACCAATGAAAAATGTCCCTATTAAAATTTTTAAGTAATAAATGAGCAGCTAGCACATGGTGGCATGGATTTACCCAGTGGAAGCCAGTTTGATGAAAATGTTATGATAGCGTTTCCCTGGGAGACACAAAGGCGAGCCTGTAAGTTCGAGCTCAGCACAGCAGGTGTTTCTCTCTCCCCCTTCCCACTTTCGGCGGCAAGCCTGCAGGTTGGGGCCTGAGGAATGGACTCGCGATGTTTTCCTTGACTCGGATTAATCTTTGCCTCATGGGCACGAAGGGTCAGGGGATGTCGGGGAAACCAGCCATACCACTGGCCTGGTGGAAGAAAGAAACAAGGGACACCGTGCAGGGAAAGGCGGGGACGTGTGTTAGTGGCATTAGAAGAAAAGAACAGGTGAAGAAGCAGGATGTGGGAGACGGGAGGCATCTGTGGAGTGTAGAAAGAACAGTGGCATGAGAACTCCGTTTCGGCATCTCGTTAGCAGTTTGTTGGGCAAGTTGTTTCAAATTCCTGAGCTTCATTTTCCTCATCTGTAAAATCAGGGTAATAACCTAACTTACAGACTGTGTAAGTATTAAAAGATCTTCCAGATATGAAGGTGCTGTCTGGAAAACAAAGTGCTTTATAAAAATAATATTGCTGGCCGTGGCTGGGTAGCTTGGTTGGCTGGAGCATCATCCTGATACACCAGAGTTGCAGATTCGACCTCCTGTCAGGCACATATAAGGAGCAACTAGTAAAGGCGTCAATAAGTGGAACAACAAATCAGTGTTTCTCTCTGTCTTTCTCTCTCTTCCACCCCCTCTCTCTTCCTCTCTCTAAAATCAATCAGTAAGAAACTAATAATACTGTAAAAGAAATAACTTAAGAGAACAAGAAAGGGTCTTCCTCCTCCTCCTCATTCTCCTCTTCTTTTTCTTCCTCCTCTTTTTCTTCCTGCTCTTTTTCTTCCTCCTCTTTCTCTTCCTTCTCTTTCTCTTTCTCCTTTTCCTCTTCCTCTCCTTCCTACCCCTTCTCCACCCGTCCTCTCTCCCTCTCTTCTCCTCTTCCTTCTTCCCCCTCTTTGATTTTAACATAGTTTAACAGATGGTAACTTGCTTACCATCAGTTCTGTGTTGAACATTGCCTCTTCTCTGAAGGCTGAAGAGATGGAAGTAATAAATTGGGGCTTCCAAGGAGCTAAAATTCCTGTCACATCATTAGTTGCCTATGACTATTGTAGAAGAATGTATAGAACCTCTCCCAGTACTTTGCTTTCCACAGGTAATTTGCTTCGTAGTCTGCTTGTCTCACAGAACATAAACAGGGTATGTCCTGTATCCGTTTGATGAACTGATGAGCATCATAAAATGTCCCCTGGGCTTTCTAAAGCCTTTAATCCCTATTTAGGATTAAACTGAAAAGAAATGAATATTACAAAGAAGATACCCAGATGACCATCCAATTCCAAAATAATAGCTGACTTCCAGCGTTTTTCACAAGGTAGGGCAGAGGCAGCTACCAGAGTTGGGTGTTGCGTGTAACTGGCTTTTGTCCAAGTGAACAAAATCATGGGGGTGGGAGGTAGGGGGGCGGTCTAAGGAGTGTTTCTGCAGCCGGTACCTTTTAGAAGACTAGCAACTGCTATATTTTTCCAGGAAGCTCATATGGGGTTGAAGAAATTTTTTTTTTAAAGTGAAGTTGGGCAGAAAAGAGGACTTACCTAGCCAGTCCTGGTCTCAGACCCACAGCAGTAAGAGAACCCCAGTCTGTGACCCGGCTGTCCGCCCCCATGAAGCTCTCTGAGGCACGTGCAATGGCACTCTTACCTCTGCTTCCTTCCTCAGCTCCCCGTCAGCCCTGCACCCAAGGAGGACCCTTTTGTATCTCAGAAGGTCATCTACCTGAGTGTGCACCTTTGGGTGGGGTGAGCATGGGGTAGAAAGAGAGGGAGGGCTCAGTCATTTGGGGCTGTGGAGTGAACATTGTTTTCCCACCCTGCGGGGGTTCATCTGGTGCCTTCCCGCGGGCTGCCAGGAAGGCTGGCTTGTGGCTACAGATCCCGCAGGCCTCTCAGCCTTGCATTTCACCCAGAGGAGTGCAGATACACTGTTCATCTGTTCTCATGTTGGGTTTCCATGTAAGAGCTTGTGTGAAGCAGGGCTTCTCTGATGAAGTCCACTGTTTGTCAGAAAGCCAGCAGTGTTCGTGCTGCTGCTATCCTTGACCCTGATGCTCCGCAAACAGAATTCAGATGCGGTGAGGACCAGATCCTCAAGTGTCACATTTCAGTGACATCTTTATTGATTTATTTTTAGAGGCAGGAAAAGACAGAGAAGAGAGGGAGAGAAACATCAATGCGTGGTTGCCTCCTATGTACCCCCTAATGGGGACCTGGCCTGCTACTCAGGCATGTGCCCCAACTAGGAATCAAACCAGCGACCCTTTGGTTCGCAGGCCGGCACTCAATCCATTGAGCCACACCAGCCAGGGCCCCTGTTTTCTCTGAGGCCTTGTTCACCATATTTTCATGTCTAGATCACTCAAATGAAAAAATCTTGATTAGGTCAGTTTTGTTCCTTTGACCTAGTTCATTATGTCCTCCTATTTCCTTTGAGGCAAAACATACCTGCAATATTGTTGTTTTCACTATGTTTTCTTATTTTGATATCTGATATTTATAAATGCATTTTGAGATATCAGTAGGGATACAACAGGATATCAGAATAAATAGAAAATTTTAGCCAACAATGTGCAATTCCATATGTCTGGAGAAAATATATTTTGTTCTAAATGTTTGTTTTTGCATTTTTAACAAAATGATTTTAGCCATGATAGTAATTTTTTACTCTTAATTTTTAAAGTATACTTTATTAAAATATAATATACATGAGGAAGAATGCAAAAATTTTAAGTGTACATCTTTTCTTTTAAATTCTCACCCAAGGTCATGCTTACTGATTTTCAGAGAGAAGGGAAGGGAGGGAGAGAGAGAAAGAGAGAAACATCAGCGTGAGAGAGGTACATCGATCGGTTGCCTCTCCTGCATGTCCCAGCTGGGGACCTAATCTGCAACCTAGGCTTATGCCTTGACCAGAATCAAACCTGTGACCTTTTGGTCCAGGGTGACACTCCAACCAACTGAGCCACACCGACCAGGGCTATAAGTATATGTCCTGATGAATTTTTGCACAATGTACGCATGTGTTTTATCTCCGTCCAGCTCAGAAAGAAAATGGTACCAGCAGCCCACAGCTCTTTTCCCAGTTACTGCCCCCCAGTCCCAATGGAAACAACTCCCGTCTATCAGTGTTGGTTGATTTTGCTTGTTTGGAGCATAACTAAAACTGCAACAGTAGAGAATGTACGCTTTCCTACTTCTTTTGCTCAAATTTTATTTGCGAGATTCATTCAAGTTTTTGTTTTATTTGTACTTTTTTCTTTGCTGTATAGAATCCCATTGTGTGACTTTTTCCTTACTTTACTCACTTATTCTAAATGTTGATAGACATTTGCACATTTCCAGTTTGGCTGCCGCAAATAGAGAGAGAGAGAGAGAGAGAGAGAGAGAGAGAGAGAGAGAGAGAGTGTTTGTGTAGAATTATTGAGTCATTAGAAAACATG